TAAAATTAATGTGTGTATATATATATATATATATATATACACACACACACACACACACACACACACACACAGGAAAAAAAAATTAACATTACAGACTAGTTCTACTGTACATAGTTATGTCAGATGGTAGAGATGATTATCATTGAGATAAACACAAAAGATTGTTATTTTTTTAAAGGCTGCACAACAGAACATTTACACAGTAATTGCCCTCAGTTTCAATAAAATTCAACAAAGATTGAATGTTATTACCCATGTAGGCTTTTCTGAGACCATCCCACAGGATTTCAAACAGGTCATATTGCAGTGTGTATTCATTTCAGGAAACTCTGTTCTCTCTAAGGCACTGGGGCTCACATGTGTAAAACAGGAAATTTGGTGATGAAGAGCAACAACCAACAAAAGCATAATCTCGTGGGACATATTCGAAACTGCAACACAGCTGAGGTCTGAAACCGAGAGCAGAAGCACACAATGCAAAGAAGTATCAAGTGCAGCACAGCAGCCTTCTTGAAACTCTCCTTCCTCTCAAAACCACCAGATTAACTTTCAGAGCATAAAATCATCCGAGTTTCTCAGAATGCAGTACATAGAACTGTGAATTCTCAAATGCCCATTCTATGGAAACCACGTATTCACATAAAAGTCATTTATATCTTCAGTACAGAGTTTACATGCGTCTATCCTACAGCAAATGTCATCAAATGCTTTCGTGTGGATATGGTGTCATTAACAAATACAAATATACAGTGGGTACGGAAAGTATTCAGACCCCCTTAAATTTTTCACTCTGTTATATTGCAGCCATTTGCTAAAATCATTTAAGTTAATTTTTTTTCCTCATTAATGTACACACAGCACCCCATATTGACGTTATGTAACGTACACATCTTTCTATCTAAATGCAACAGATGTAATGACTCAGCGTGTTTTGTTTTTTTATAGATAAAATCCATTAAAGCATCTACATCAGTCTAGGGCCAGATGCTGTGGAGGAGTAACTGATCAGTCTGTAACACTAAATCCTCAAGTTACATACTATAGAATCTACACCGCTAAAACTAAAGATATATTCACAGAATGCATTTGGTGATTATGAACAGGCAGTTATGGATGGGTAAAAATAGATGCATTTGACACAGTCTGGAACATCAGCCTTTAATCAATGCAATACTGTAACTTTCATCAGAGCCATCACGTAACTTATTATATGTTCATAGGGGTTATAATATATATATATATAGAGTATCTGTATTAGGGGTGTCAAACAATTAATCGCAATTAATTGCATCCAAAATAAATTTTGTGTTTACATAATATAGGTGCGTGTACTGTGTATATTTATTATGTGTATATATATGCTTTCAGATGATGTATAAATCTCAATTTCTATAAAAATTAACCCTTATGACTGGATTTGTGGTCCAGGGTCATGTCATATATATATATATATATATATATATATATATACACATACATACACACACACACACATTTAGAACCAAAATATATAATGACTGAATGACTTTAATTTTTCTAAATTTACTTTATTTTACCTCGATGCATATCCACTCCCAACCTATTTGGGAACCACTGATTTAGATATATACATATAAATATAATATATTTTTCTTAAATATGTACATGCATGTGTGAGTATTTATATATATATATATATATATATATATATATATACACAATGGGTACGGAAAGTATTCAGACCCCCTTAAATTTTTCACTCTGTTATATTGCAGCCATTTGCTAAAATCATTTAAGTTAATTTTTTTTCCTCAATGTACACACAGCAC